TAACCCTGATGTTACAGCGACTTATTGCTTCAATGAGTTTGCACAGTCCAGGAGTCTCCCGCAAAGGACCTACAATTTGGAAGGATAATTTTTGTGGCTTGCCTTCCCCAGTACTTCCATCTTCATTCTCTTGTTCGCTATCTCCGCTTTCGGTTAAGCCATGCCCACGCTCACAGAGAGCTTTCAATGCTTCCGGTAACATGTTTCCATTCAATACATACCAATTACTTTTAGGTAGTGTATCCAGTAGCTTCTTCACAATACTGTCGTGCTTGCCTTCCATCCTGTTGTACCGACCACTCTCGCCAAGGACCTGCAAGACGTGATTTATAATCGGGTCTTCGAAGCGGCTGGTGGTGTCAGCTGTTTGTACCACGTCTACTAATCTCACGATGTGGTCCTCGATTTCGCTGAAGTGTTGGAGGTCCTTTGTTAAGCCCATGACCATTGGGATCATGGGGCGGTACATCAGCGCTTGGTCAGGCGGGAGCAAGTGTTTTGCTCGACTGTGATCTTCTTGAAGTTGACTCCTGATGTAATTAGCCGAAAAGTAGAGTTGGTGGGCTGCAATCCTGAAGGTAAATGTCTGTATCTCGCCGGAAGAATTATAGTGTGGGACGAGCGTATGTGCGAAGAAGGCTTTCCGTTCATCAAAGTCATGTAGTTCGTCCTTTTTAACAAGCAACTTCTTCTGTGCAACTGCAAATGCATCTAAAGCTAGTTTTGCAATATCATCGCTACTCTTTTTTATAAGTGAAGTAGCGTCTGAGTTTTCACGATGAACTTTAGTCTTGTATATTCGACTCCACAATTCAAACCATTCAAAATAAAACTCCGAAATAGTCTTTGCAGTGAAGGAGCTCGACACTTTCCACCCATGGAAGGCCACGTAAGTGTTAAAAGGCTTTCTGATTTCCATCGACAAGTTCATCATCAGCCTGTTTAAGTATTCCTTAAACTGAGCATACTCTTTCCCGTGAACCTGGCACAGTCTCTGGCAGTAAGCGTTGAAGAGGGCGCCCGACAGCCCGCCTGACAGCTCAGCAATAGATTCAGAAGCCCCGCGAGGAGCTATGACAGGATTGGCAGACATCCCGCCCCAGAGTCGAAGCACCAGGTGGTCTCTGTCGCACGCGTACCGCAGGGCGTGGGCGTGATCCTGCATAAACTCCAGGCCGGAGAACGCCACCACGCACGCATTCAGCCAAGGCGAAAACGACGTCTCGTCCATCGCCCATCCCGGAGGAAGGTCGTCCAGTGAGTCAACCAGCAGGAGAACTTCCATTTCACTCATAATCTTCTTTATCTTCTCTTCGCCGAATTTCCCGCAGGACTCCGGAAGCCGCTTAAGAACCTCTTCCAGGACACTGAGTTTCGTCTTCTCGTTGGGATCGGGCGGAGGTTGAAGGCCAAGACACTGGATAGCTATGAGGGCGTCGTATCGAGCCATACCACGAACCTAAAAGATGCAAAAAATCTCATAATTATTTCTGCATCCCTTCTCTATTTTTTTCCAAGTAGAGTAAACGGAACTGATTTTAAAAAATAATAATCGAGGATACGATAATATAATTAATTATTAAGAATTCATTGCATAGATAATAATGGATGGAACATGGTAATTCGAAGAATAAGAATAAGAATCATGTTACTAACATAGCTAAAAATTCCACTAGATATAAGGACTGAGGGTAATGATGATTGCAAAGAAAAAAAAGAAAAAAAAGAAGAGACTAAACCCGAATAAAACAGCGGTTGCATTAATGGAGTCAGTGAAGGTAATGATGGTAACATTATGGGTAAAGAATATAGTCGCTATGATAACGACATAAACACTTAGTGTTAATAACAGCAACGATAATGAATATGATCATGAGGATGACAATAGTTATAATAACGATAATGATGGTGACGACAAAGATAAAGATATCAATGATATTCTTGATAAAAATAATGATGGTGATAATGATAATAACAATGATATTAAAAATAACAATAATCTTAGTAATAGTGGCAATAAAGATGATAATAACACTAGTAATGATAGCAATAGTAATAATAATGATAATAATAACGATGATGATGATAATTATGACAATAACAACAACAATGATAATTATAATAATAATTATAATAATAATAATGATAAAAATGGTAATAATAATATTAAACATAACAATAATGACAATGATGTCAATAATGATAAAAAAAGCAAAATATAACAATAACATAATATAACAATAATAATAATAATTCATAATGATAATTGATAACAATGATGACAATAATAACAATGATAATAATGATACTGATAATAAAAATGATAATAATAATAATAATAATAATAATAATAATAATGATAACATTGAAAGTAATAATAATGATAATATAATAATGACAATATAATAGTAATAATGATGATGATAATAATAATAATAGTAAAAAATAATAATGATGATAATAATAATAATAATAATAATAATAGTAACAATAATGATAA